AAAAGAAAAGAGAAAAGCGAAGTATCATCATTGTCAACGTATATAGCGCCCCAAAGCAAAAAACCACTGATTTCCATGCCCTCGTCCAAGGTGCCTGCCGATTGGCCCAGGGAAAAGAACTCTTACTGCTCGGCGACTTCAACGCTCTCGACGAACGCTGGGGTTACAACCGTTCGGATGTCAAAGGCAAACAGCTTGCGGCTGCCACTGAAAAATTTCAGCTTGAACTGCTTACGGATCCCGCGTTCCCTACCCGGATCGGCAACAGTGTGTGCAGGGACACTTGCCCCGATCTCACCTTCGCCCGTGGCCGTGCAAACTATAACTGGGACAACCTGCAGGAATCCTTGGGCAGCGACCACTTCATTCTCCGCACAAAGGTTACAAGAGCGCAGCGCGTCGGTCTATTGGAGAAGCACGCATCACAAACTGGGACGCCTTTCGTCGTGAGAGCGAATATTCACTCGACAGCCTCATAAGCCTCACCGACTGGTGCACCCAACTTAAATTCGAGAATGTTGGACCACCACCATTAACAGAACACCTGCACTGCCGGATGTGGACGGCCATCTGCTACATCTGTGGGAAGCCCGAAGGAGCTTCATCCGCAGATGGAGGACGCAAAAACATAACCGACGCCTCAAGCTAAGGATCGCCACACTCACCACTCAGGCAGAGCAGTACGCTACAGAACTGGCGCGACTCAATTGGGCCCAGTTTAGCGACAATCTTCGAGGCTCATTGGGCACGGCCCGCACGTGGCACATTTTGCACGCTTTGATGGACCCCACTCGAACAAAAAATGAGACGAATAAGTCTGTCATGCGCCGCATACACGCCTTTGAGGGTACTGACGATGAGCTGCTGGATCAAGTCCAGCGAAAATGCTTTGGCGATTTCTACCCACCCGCATCTCAGGCTGCGTATCGTGGACGTGCCAATGACACTCTCGACCGACCAATAACGGTGGACGAAGTTTACGCAGCCATTCGCAGCAGAAATCGCAACACAGCTGCTGGGGCAGACGGAATCACGTACTCCCTTATCAGGAACCTCAACGACAGCGCCGTACAAGAAATCACGGCGTTTTTCAATGATCATTGGCAACGTGGCACGCTTCCTCCTGAATGGAAGCACGCGGAGGTCATAATGATACCGAAGCCGGGCAAAAAACTTCAGATCGAAAACCTCCGACCAATATCCCTCACTTCCTGCCTTGGTAAACTCTTCGAGCGCGTCATCACTAATCGCGTGCAAGATTACCTCGAGGACAATGACCTTTTTCCGCACTCAATGTACGGGTTCCGGGCACATCTTTCAACGCAGGATGTACTGCTACAATTAAAAGAAGTCATTGATAACGCCCCCAGCAAGGAGAAAACATTATCTTGACTTTAGACATTAAGGGCGCATTTGATAACGTTAGCCACCAGGCCATACTTGAGGGCCTCAAGGCCCTTCATTGTGGGCAGCGTGTCTACAGTTATGTTCACGCCTTCTTGTCGGACCGCACTGCCACAGTCGGTCTCGGCTCCATCCGATCACATGTTATCAGGGTTCCGAACAAGGGCACCCCGCAGGGCTCAGTGATTTCCCCGCTACTCTTTAATGTAGCTATGGTTGGCCTGGCACATGAACTCCACCGCATCGATGGCATCCATCACGCAATGTATGCGGACAATATCACCGTCTAGACCACGCGGGGGTCCCTTGGAGAAAAAGAATATAACCTGCATCAGGCAGCCACATGCGTCGAACAATACGCGCAGGCAGGAGGCCTGGCCTGTGCAACAGAAAAATCTGAGCTTCTACGAATTTATCGACGCAAGCTCCCACCATCGACGCAGAACAACCAAGGCTCCCGCCTCCAGGTCGTCCTTGCTGGCAAACAAATCCCAGAGAAATCCACCATTCGAATATTAGGCATGTGGGTACAGTCGAACCGCCATGTGAAGCACACACTTTCCCTTCTCCGCACCACTACACTGCAAGTGGCCCGAATGATATCTCGTGTAGCCACTCGTCGCAATGGCATGCGCGAGGAGGACACCCTGAAACTCATACGTAGCCTCGTGGTCAGTAGGGTGACATACAGTTTGCCCTACCAACGCCTCACCAAGAGCGAACAGGGCCAAGTAGACGCAATGCTCCGCAAGGCCTACAAAGCGGCACTCAAGCTACCACCGGGTACTCCTTCTAGCAAGCTCCTCGCATTGGGCCTACACAACACCTTTGAAGAACTTTGTGAAGCGCAACTCGCCACACAACTGCAACGGCTCACGCAAACACCTACAGGCCGTGACCTGCTCCTACGCCTTGGCTACATCAGCCAGTTTCACGGCGCAGCTCGTCGCAAGCCCATTCCGGACCAACTTCGTGCCACTTATAAGGTCGCTCCCATCCCCCGCAATATGGATCCCCGACTACATCAGGGCCGGAGGGAAGCCAGAGTGGAAGCCCTCGAGCGAACTTATGCACACAAGAACACTACGTACTATGCTGACGCCGCCAACTACGACCATGCAAACAATAAGGCTGTAGCCACAGTCGTGGACCACACACTCACAGAACGTACCAGCGCTTCCGTGCGGTGCCGCAACATCACCGATGCTGAAGAAACTGCCATCGCGCTCGCTCTCGCCCTCGGCTACAGACAACGAAGGTCGCTGACAGTTCTCACGGACTCTCAAGCAGCTTGCCGCAACTACCTACAGGGGCGCATCAGCCAACCCGCTCTAAACGTCATCATGAGCGTTACAGTCACTGGCGAGCATTCCATTACACATCCACTCAGAATTTGGCATCGGATTTTATGGACTCCGCGCCACATGGGACTGGAGGGGAATCAGGCAGCGGATAGGGTAGCTCGAGGGTATGCGAGCCGAGCACCTTCCAACTCCGCCCCTGAGGAACTCGTCCCGGTCCCTTGCGACTATTCGGCCATCCTAAACCATTACAGAGGACTTAGGAAAGCTTATTCGCTACCACACCGAACACTAAATAAAGAGGAATCGGTCAGCTGGAGGCAAATTCAAACCGGCACGTTTCCAAATTTGCACATCCTGAGTAAAATGCACCCCTCGGCATACTCTCCTCTCTGCCCATGGTGTTCAGCTAAAGCCACTCTGTACCACGTCACGTGGGAGTGTCAGACAATTACAGCCTTACAACCAGTACAAAATCCAACAGCGGAGCGATGGGAGGAGCTGCTGGCCAGCGAGAACCTGGAAGATCAGTTGAGTCTGATCAACCGGGCCCGCAAAGCGGCGGCTGCAAGTAAAGCCCCGGTACTAAGCCCCCCCCCCCCCCCCCCCCCCCCACCGCAAGCCAAGCATCTCCGATCACTCGGAGCTTCTCCGCAGAAAATTTCATGTAAATAAATAAATAAATACGTTTTCACCACCACCACCACCGCCACTCAACACTTCTAGTCACAGAGGAAGGAAAGGTAGGAGAGGCCCTGACGTCACTCGTTGTGAGGACGAGATAGAACACTTTAGCCGAGATGAAGCTGCAAGTCAGTCATATTGACGAGACAAATTCTCCTCGCTTGTTTACATCCGAATGTAAAGCAGAAGGCACGACTCTCTCTCCGGCTCGGAAAGCACGTGGGCTGCGCAGCGCGTGTGTCGTGACGATGCGAAACTAATGGAACGGGGCTCATCACTCTGAGCATGCGAGACACCTTCAGCGAAATCGCTTCGTCCGAGTAATAACAGGGAGTAACAGCTCGCCGACAACGAAGCAACTACGAGAGAACGCGCGCTAGATGCACTGACAACGGCGAGTGCTTTCACGTCATTAATTCAGCAACTGTACAGACAACACGATCGGTCGTGCGCTTTCTACGGTTGCATTCCGCCACGCGGCCGACGCAGCGTCCTGCCACTGTGTCCGTGTTCAGCGTGAAACTCACCGGCGTCAGCATTCTGCGACCGTGGTGACTTTGAGCACGGTGCTAGTGACAGTTGAACGCGGTTGCCGTTACGTTGAGATTACATGCAATGCTGGTGGAGAGTGTACCAAGCGGAACAGAAAAGGTGTTTTAATACGCACATGCAAGTTGTTACTGTACACACACAACACGAAACTACGTATGTGCACATGGTCCTCATGGCGTCTTGCTGGGCTCAACAGCGTCGTCCATTGTCACAAGCAGGAGCACTGCTCAACCGTCACTGACCTGCAAGGCGTTCGTCGTCATTCAGCTTCGTCATGGTGCCCAACGCAATTTCGCTGAACACTAACTGCTTCATCCGCGTCATCCGCCGCACGACACATGGATATGCACTTGTTCTACGCACTGTTGAAACCCCGTGATGGACAAAGGGATTTGTAAACATTGCTAAGAGTAATGTAACTGCCAGGAGAACACTGCGTAACCAATAACGCGGCGCAGAGCACAGATATTGTCCGCCACGGCTCAGCACGAGACCTGGGGAAGCACACATTCCGCGGCCGCTCACTGCTAGACCAGCTCCACTGCGCAACACGTAACCATAGTAACGCCGCCATTGTGCCTAGTGAATATGGCCACCATGATGTCATTTCCGCCACACTTTTCACGCCCCGCGCCGGCTGGGCATGCCCTCTCCTTCCTTACCTTCCTCCGTGCTTCTAGTCAACGCCTTCTAGATTTTTTGTGCCTGCCAGATGAGCGCGAAACGCCGGTCATTTATGGTAGCGCTGCCTACGTAGGAGTAAGGGTTTTGTACTCGGCCTTTGAGATTGGCAATCTTGGCGTTTGCTACTAATTTTAGAGGATGCCTTGTATTAAAAAAGTTGCTTGCTGAATGACAACTTCACTTACGTAGGGTTAATTATAATTACGTTTACGCCTTTTTAAAGTTTTCTTACGTTATTTTTTATATAAGTTGTGAAAACGTAAAAACCTATTTGAAGACACCCCCTACTTGAGTGGCGCCACCACCGTAGTTTCAACAACCGCCGCTTCTCAAGTGACCACCTATAATCCGGCAGGCACGAGAAATCTAGGAGGCGTTGTTCTAGTACACTCTAGTTGTACCGACGCTCTCCGCTTGCTAGCGCTGACTGCGAAAAGAAGGTTCCGAGTTTGAACGCGGCTGTATCGGTTTTCCGGCTTCCTGTGCTTCGTTTGAATTAAATAGTTTACTAGCTTAAGTGGTCGATCGTGGAGCTTGCGTCAAGCGCATTGTCAAGATGAGCGAGAGCATCCTTAGTCTCCTGCAACAAGCTGAAACGGGTGCGTTCCACGCTCGACTTGGTCGTCTCTGTTAAATGATACGCCTTCAAAACGTCTATTGTATGCCGCTCGCATTGTTTGACGTGTTATCGGCTCACTTTTACCTTCAGAGCGTGCGGCCGTGGAGCAGCAATTGCGGGCACCACAGAGAAATGCAAATCAACTGAGGGAATGTATCATTAATGGTATAGTTCTATTCTTGAATAGCATGCTGCGAAGAATTTACTGTATACTTAATACCGTTCATTCTTATTGTTATTTTCTTTTACTTTCCCCAGCTCAGAAGGAACTCGCTGAATTGAAAACTCGGCGAGAGCGTGCTTTAGGTAATGCTACACTTTTTGAATTCTTTTCACACTGTGCCCTGCTATTCTTGTTCTGATCGAGGTGTTGTGTCACTTTAAAATTCCAGAAAAACTTAGCACGTGCGAAGCCGCTGCGAAGAGTTTAGAGGCTAGTTGCGATCAGTAAGTTTGCTGTACGTTTTGAGACCGTGTCCACAACATAACAACCTAATGCACCAATGACTGACTTCTCACGTTGCAGGTTCGCAAAAGCGCAGGAGGGGATGGCCGCAAGAATTTCAGACTTATCAATGAAAATTTATCAGGAAAAATGTTCGAGGCTACAGAAATAGTGAGGTTTATCTTGCTTGCATTCTGCCATCTAATGGTACGGTAACTGCGTAGTTTTTTTTTTTTTTTTCGCTCTCCATTTCAGCACCAGCGCTGAGGAGTACCTGAGTGGACTTCGTGCAGCTTTGCGAAAAGTTGAATGGGTGAGAAAGTGTAACCTTATCTAGCATGACTGAGCTGTATGCTTTTCTTGCTTGTTGCGAAAACACCGAATTCACAAGTGACGCTACCTTTTCTTTGTGCGTGTTCACAGAGTCCAGAGGCGCTTGAAAGGTTGGCAGCAGCACATCGTACGCGAATCCCGCAATTAGAGCAGCAGTGTAAGTGAGCTAGCATGTATTGGTAACTGCACTGACCATTTTTATACGTTTCTTGCTGCATGGGCAATATTCGAGATAGAGGAGGAAGGGGGTGGAAATAAACGAAGAGAAAAGTGGAACTTCACAGCAATTTGATTTGGAGCTTCATATTTTTCGAATACAGAATAAAAATGGAAGATTTTCCCCACTCTGGGAAGTTAGATGACCATTGGAGCTGGTTAGCACAAAACACAGGTGATAGAATATTTCGAACAGTCAATCGCATACCTCACTACTGAATCCAAAATGTCTGTGAAATCCCTCTTGCATGTACTATATGCTCTGTTGAAGTTTTCTCGTTTGAGCAGCATGCATACTATCTGCTGCGACATGCATTGTGGCGTCTGGCTTTCTGTATGCACTTGGCGTTCGTGTACAATTTCGATGTGCTATTCGAGTAGCATACGTCTTTTTACCACGTTCACTGTTTTGCCACATGCATTATCTTGTGTGACTTGCTATGTGTGCTTAGAATATTGTGCATGATCTCCAATGGCATTCGCTGCCCGTGTGTTCTGTTTATTCTTGGTGGATTTCGGATTTAGCTACAAAGTGAACGATTGCCTACGATTCTTAAGTTCTGTGTCACCTCTATGACACGTACAAAACAGCTGTTGTGGTCACCCACCTTCAAAGTGGAATAGCTTTTCAATTTTAATACTGATAAAGGTTGAGAAGCCGCACAAATTATGTCGCTGTGAATGTCCTGCCGTACTCATTTTGCAGCTAGTACTTTTTATTTTATTTGCTGTGATTTTCAAGGAATAGCTTTTTCAAGTTGTCAACTTTAGTGTAAGGCCACACAAAATGGGCTGTTGTATATCCACATTTGCATATCCTAGATAAGACATGTTTTGTTAGTTGTGAACACAAGTAGTGAATTTCAGCTGGTGATCGCAGAAATTCAGGATGTAAGTGGAGATTTGCAATGTCTTAGATGTGATAATTGCACCGTATTCTGTATACTGCAATTTGGATTTAATATCTTATTATACAGCATGTACTGTTGCAGCAGAGAGACTTCTTCGCCGAGTTGGTTCATTCTTACGGTAGCTTTTGGCACGAAATAAACCCGTCTCTTGTGTTTATTTCACGCCAAATGCTACCGTATCTACTGTTGTGCTCGGTATGCGTTTTCGACATGGCAGCATGTGCCTGAACTACACTGCATGCATGTAGTACCTTGCAGCACTGTGGAAACAGCCAGGCCATAGAAAAGGTGAAAAACTTCTTGAGATGTGTTCATCCGCATCGCGTTGTCTGCTCGTCATCTCTCTGACTGGCGTTAGCTCTCCTGCAATGTCAGTACTTTCTCTGACCCTCCTTTATGCAGAAGTTCTTTCAAGAAGGCCATCTCTCAGTTTCATTGGTGTTCAGATTTCCGCTTGCACTATTCACTTATACAGGGTGTGTTTGCTAGCATTTTCTTTTTATAACAGCATTCATACTGCCACTTTCAGAGTTCTTTTGACAGCACCAAATGCATTTCGTGCTATTCACCTCGTTTCTTTAGAAAAATACTGCATGTTGGATCTATAGCATTTCAGAGATTGCCAGTGCACTTTTACTGGTCATAACCTACTGTTCTTGAGAGGACCAGCAAATTGTTAGCACAGGAAACAATATAGGCATTCGAGGCATTTCACATCATCAACGCATCACTGACACTAATGTTGTGGCCCCATATGCTCAGTTGACAAGAGACCACTTTTACTGCTTGGCACCACCATAGCAGCATGAAAACAAGCAAGGGATATAAATAATAGCAGGGAAAGATACCTCATGCTTTCCCCTGAGCTTTAGATGAAACTAAGCAATGGCGGATTATATTTCTTACTTCTTGCTGTTGGAGAAGACAACCAGTAATAGGCACACATTTGGATGGAAGTGGATGGTCGGGGCTGTATGGGGACTGCTATATGCATGGTTAAGAACGGCACAAAAACATGAGACGCCAAACGAAAAAAACACATGGACGTGCGCCGGAATCACAACTAATCTATATTCACGTCGACTCGCAAATATATACAGACACAAGGTCACAAAAAAAACCAGGTAATACACCATGCAAAGTTTTGTCATGCCTGCCTGCCTGTGCAAGTATGATACCTTTTTTTGTTGCAGGGCGATAGACAGAATGCTGATACATGACTTACTGTTACAAATGTGCAGAGCCTCTATTATCTCCCGAGGTGTCTGTTTATAACTCCTGGCGACGATGCCAGTTTTTTCAAATTAAGGGACGCACCCGCACTCTTTGCAATGCGTACCGATATGTGAAAGGGCGTCGATGCGACAATTGGCCTCGTGTTCCCTCAATCTTAGATTGACACACCTACCACTTCTGTCCTATGTATACAGCACTACAAGATAAAGGAAACTTGTACACCATCCCTGTGGCGCAGTCAGCAGCTTTGGACCAGTGGTTGACGCCTCATCCAGCCAATTTCTCATTTCTTTCCTTCACTTTTTTTGCTTACATGGGCACATATTCGTCGCAGCTGGTTAGGCACTGAAAAAACTGCCCTCACACGAAATCAGCCCGCCATGTTTTTCAATTCATGCGACATCTTATGCACATACGGTGGTGTTATGCACATACGCTACTACAGCTATTGTCTTGTTATTTTCCAGGTTTTTGTTTTTCTTATCTCCATTCTCTTTAGACTTTGAATTTAATTGTTAGCAATTGCGGCATTTCTGTGGCATCCTCCTTGAAAATTTTAACGTAATATTTGAACTTTATTGTTATTGGTCTTGAAGACAAGCCGTATATACAAAAAGGAGGTGTTAATATAGGGTCTAGGATCACCCCTATTCTTAGCAATGTTTTTCTAGTATGTGTAGATAAAGGGATTGAGCACTGTATTGAATGTCGGAACATTAGGATCTGCTACATAGATGATTATTTGGTGCTCATAGCAATCGTGGTTCAATTTTAATAAAATTTCAGAGCTCTTCTAGCAAGAAGGTATGGGCGTCAAGTTCACGTACGAGGTTCGGAGCAGCAAAAAATAACATTTCTTGATGTTGCGAATTTCATGGTGCCTGGACATCTATGCTGAGAATTTCGGCCACACTTCGAAAAAGGCCTTCTAAGCTACTCATCAGCCCAAGCGTTTTTAGACAAGTAGGTCGTTTGGTGTATGCTGGTTTCTTAGAACATGTAGTAACCAAAGCACGTGAAAAGGTAATCAAATAACTAAAGTCTGAAGGGACTGGAGATAAGAAAAACAAGAACTTGGAAAATAACAAGAAAATAGCTGTAGTATCGTATGTGCATAAGATGTCGCATGGATTGATAAACGTGGCGGGCCGATTTGGTGAGAGGGCAGTATATATAGTGCCTAACCAGCTGCAACGAATATGTGCATGTGTAAGCAAAAAAAGTAACGAAAAGAAATGAGAAGACGGCAGGACGCGGCATCAACCACTGGTCCGAAGCTGTTGATTGGGCCACAGGGAGGGTGTACAAACTCCCTTTATCTTGTAGCGCTGTACACATAAGACAAACTGTTAGGTGCGTCAATCTAAGATTGAGGGAACACGAGGCCAATTGTTGCATCGACGCCCTTTCACTTATCGGTGCGCATTGCAAAGACTGCGGGTGCGTCCTTTAATTTGAAAAAACTGTCATTGTCGCCAGGAGTAATAAACAGACAACTCGGGAGATAATAGAGGCTTTGCATAATCTAACAGCAATTCAAGCATTAGCGTTTTTTCTATTGCCCTGCAACAGAAATAAATATCGTATTTGAATAGGCAGGCATGACAAAACCTTGCGTGTTGTATTACCTGTTTTTATGTGACTACATGTCTGTATATATTTGCGAGTCAATGAGAAGAAAGATTGTTTGCTATCCAGCGCCCGACCTTTTGTTTTCTTTGTTTGGGTGTCTTGTGTTCTTGCGCTATAACTATGAACCCACACTAACTCGCCCAATTGTCACTGTGGCTGCTATATTGCTGTGCATCATCACAGTTAAGGGGACCATTACGGTTACCAGCAGGTAATGACTGCAATAATTCGGAAAATGCAAAGTGCACCTGTGGAAAGCCTTATGTATCACATATTGCTGTAACATGTCATGCAAGAAGCACCGCTTAAACCATTGTATCTCGTTGATGATGGAGTTATGCTCTGTACCAGGGTTGCCACTGACTTTCAAGTGACATTCGCCAAACGATGAGCGAGAAGTTGCCAAAAATCGCCACTTTTCCGTCAAATTTTGCCAAAAATGTTGCCAGTCTACATTTTGTGATGCTTGGATAGTAATAAATATTGCTATTTATGTATAGTTCCAAGAAGAACAATACTGTCCGTAACCCCTTAATTATATTGACGTTTTTTAATGCCAGTTGCATTGCCCGCTTCATCATAATAGCACTTAGAAAGGGCATGCATGCACCATCAGCTTCTCTGAATGCTGTTGCCTCATAAGAAAAGTTTGGGACGGTTTTAGTTGTAGCGAATGCAGGATGAAGTAGTCGCTACAGCAAGAAAGGGATGGCATGCGTAGACTTCTTTAAATTTCGAGGATTTCATTGAGTGGAATCTTGTGCTTGATAATTGAACAACTTGATTACAAAACAAAGGTAATAAATTCAAAAGTAGCACTTAAACTGTCGCAATGCATGCACGACTTTTTCTGTGTGGTCATGCTTATTTAAAAATTCACCTCAGTGCAGTTTCTGAAGGCTGTCCAAAGAAGGCGACTTTTAGCCGGCCTGAAAAAATGTTAACTCTTTCGTTACCGCAGGAGAATGGTTGTTTTTCATATGTCCTCAGGGAAGATCGTTTTTGCCAGTTTGAAAATACTCCAGCACGCATTGCAACATACCAAACTTTGCAGAATGAAATGCTCTCTTCCAAAAATTATATGTTGTAGAGCCACAAAAACATTTTAGAATGAATAAAAATGTGAAAAGTGTGTAATTTTTTCTTCACCAGCTGGTAAACCGGGGAATAAAAAACACTATATATGCAAACATATTCAGAACAAAGAAAATACACAATATACATTTTGTAGAGAAATGACACAGGAACTGTATAAAAATAACTATTGTTGTAGAAAATGTTTTTTTCACATAGACAAAGAAAATCGGAACCGAGGTGCTACTTCATTGCTCATGGCATGTGGTGAAGCATTGCATGGTTTTTCGTGAGGCACAAAAGTACTTGTACACTCTTCTCAGTAAATTTTCATTGCCTTGCGATAAGAGTCTCCACGTATTCCAATATAGATGGATACCCATGATGTGAATAATCTCTCTATAAATGAGATGTCCAATGAACTTCGCTACTTCATCTAGCGTCGCCTCCTTTCACGAGCCACCTCAGTCCGCATAGGTTGGCGTTCAAATATATGCATACAAGCATATTCCTTTGCATCATTGCACATATTGTAATAAAAAAAAGGACAATATTACGCGCAGTTCTAAAATGTTTTGCACTCGTCAGTAGTCAGGGCCAACATGTGCTCCAGGGGCCTTCTTGCCGTTAGGAGAATTTCTGCAGCCAGCGCCACCACACCGCGCCCTAACAAAGTGTGAATCACGCACGTAACCTGAGTAACTATAAGATTATGCGCAAAAGTCAGGAGTTATACGCACTTGCGGTGGAGGAGATAACTTGAAGATGTAAACAAAACGAACCCATGAACGACTACAGATGTCTCAGGCCTACGCAAAACATCGTCCCCATAAAATTTGAAGCATAGGTGCTATCATCCACAAAATCTCAGCTTGGTCTCACTCAATTCAGGTGGGGTCACAAGACAGTTTCAAGCAGCACATGTGTTTTGTAGCGCTGATGCGCACCCATGCGTGCGTGATGACGGCATAATAGGAGTGACTAGTGACACTAGATGTGACCCTGTGCCTGATATAACGATACAAGCAAAACCAAAGCAGCTTGGAACTAGATGTGAGAGTCACCTGCATACTTTATACATGCCGTGGACCTTGGGAATATTTTTTTGTAGAATCAATCTTCCCTGACTTTTAGAAACGGCTCTCTATTGATTAGCTGACATAAATATCTGACTGCTCAACTCAGTCAAATTGTGAAGCTAACACATCAATTTGGTATTTGGCTTGCAAAGTTTCTTTTCATTACAGAACTTCGATGTTACTGTAGCATAATCATGAGGGGCACACACTTCTGTCAAGTTTGTCAACCTAGCGCATTTTTGCAACTACACACGCACATTGGTTTGCGTAAAAGTTTTTGAAAAATTGCTATGTTGCCCAAGTTGGAAAAAAAAAATTGAAAGTTGATTGGCTGAACTAACTACTAGAAAGTGCTGGGTGCAGGGGAAAGAAATTTAACATGCCAAAATTGATGACCGAAAAAGGACAATCACCGGTGACCCTGCCACGGTAGTCTAGTGGCTAATGTATTCGGCTGCTGACCCGCAGGTCACGGGATCGAATCCCGACTGCGGCGGCTGCATTTCCGATGGAGGCGGAAATGTTGTAGGCCCGTGTGCTCAGATTTGGGTGCACGTTAAAAAAACCCCAGATGGTCGAAATTTCCGGAGCCCTCCACTATGACGTCTCTCATAATCATAATGTCACGGTTATTAGCCGTAACTCGTCTGCACTGGCTCATTCTTACAAAGCGCAAGAGCAGACGCGCAACGTCCTCTTCCTCGAAAAACCCCAGAGACTGCTGCTCGTGATACTGGCTTCTTCGTCTTTTTGTGTTTACGGCTAATAACCGTGACAATATGGTGGTTTTGGGACGTTAAACTCCACATATCAATCAATGAAATCATCGACAATCACCGGTGATTGATTTGAATAGGCATGGTAAAGAAAGAGTTAAGTAAAGAAAGAGTTAATTAAAAAATTTGAACGATATATAAAAAATTAGGGGGTGCTACAGCAGGGTATTCCCTGCCGACTATCTATTTAGAACTGTTGGAGGTGTGGTCGGAACATTTGGCCAAACGTCACCTAGCCATTCAGAAGCCAAACTTTAAAGAAGCCTTAAAGCTCTTGAAGCCCCTAAGGAACTTAGTATACACCATCACCTCGTGGCACGGGAAAAGTCCCCTGACATAAATTGTGCTTCAAGGTTGCTGGTGGATGCACCAGTGCGCCGGTGCCTCCAGGATCTTGGTGAATTGAGGAGATAGACTTGAGGAACAGAACAGACGTACTGAATTACGCATAAAGTGCACCCCCTATACTGGTGAGTCTAAAACTACAAAAAATAGAGCAAATGTTTTCGCCCATTTGTTTTTAAAACTCTGAGAATAGAATACATAACTCAGTCGAGGCCTAAGGCGAAAATCGTCATGCCCCGAATCATGATTTTAGGTCGCCACGGGCCTTCTAAAATTCGCCAATCTGGTGAAAAGTAGCCACCAGTGACAATTCCTGCTCTGTACTATGTTACATCCTATGCAAAGATATTGCCTATGCACTCCTTGTAGCTTCGGCAGTGCTGCGAGGTAGCTGTCGGAGGGAGTATTGGTCCAAGATTGTGCATGGTGGTCAGTTGCCCTTATTTGCATGATAATGCCGTCCAAAATGCTGTTCTCCTATTTCGAGAACACTATCTAATTTTGGATATAGGCATTCATGCACAATCTTCAGCGCTTGTTTGGCCATGATTTCCACTGTAGCGAGTCGTACTGAGTTTGATGGTACTTATGTCACACGTGATGGCTCATTTTTATGGCCATGAGCTAGTGTATGCAATGAGAGAAGTACCTTATAGCTGATCTTGTTGTGTGAGAAATGGAGAAAAGAAAAAGACAAAAACTAGCAGACTGTGCTGGCCAGTTAGTTGCCCTCGATAACTTCCTGTCTTGCTTACGTAGCTGGTGAATGTTTTTTGATTCTAGATCAATGATGCGTGTTAAAAAGTGATGAAAAGTGCACCTGATGGAAACTGTGAAATAAATGTTGTGTGTGTCAAAATTAAACAGGTGTCTTCCTTGAGGAACTGCTTATAAGCGATTTAGCTCTCACCTTCCATGGTACTAGTTCACACTGTGATATCGAAGGGACCGATAGTCTTGGCCATTGACAAAAGGCAGGATGTGAGATAGTATCCCCTCCAGCGGCGATGGCTAAGTTTGTGTACACAACTTGCTTTTGCAAGTTGTGTCCACTTGTGGCCAAAAGAGAGCAACATACATTGCTCATTGAATGAACTGAATCTTTTCTTTAGTATGTCTCGACTTGACTTCAGTGTGCTGTGTCTCAATGTAATCAATAGCTTGTTGAAGGTGCTGCGATGTTTGATGGGTCATTCAAACATGTTAAGCTTCAGACATGAAGTCAAATGTGCTACTTTTTTTTTGTCTGGGAATAAGTGTAACCAAAAACTACTTGTACGCACATTTGGAACCTATGGTTGCGTTCTTTTCATGTCACAATGAAACATGACTGACTTCAGAAAAATTTAATATTAATTACATAATAATTGCAGTTAATGGATGAAACTCGCACAGAACAATGCATTGCTTCTTTTTTTAAATTTATTATTGAGTGTCTTGGAAATATGCTGCGAATTTGACATATTTGTAAACAGTGCACTCAGGCCTGAAGGGAATATTCATTGTTAAAGACAAGTGGTGTTTTAGGTGATGTTGTGAAATTGCTTTTGTGTAATTGGGCATATTTTGTGCCTTTTGTAGGTTTTTGTCTGAGTGATGGTGCAGAATCATTCTACTAAATGTTACCTTAGTGCATTGCACGTCGTGGGGCAGTTACGGCATGTATAGTCACATTGCTATGTTTTTTATCTCTGCAGTGGCAGAGCTAGATGCAAGTTTGCAAAGCAAGAAGGCCAAGCTGGAGCAGGCGCAGAGCACCCAGAGTAGCATGGCAGAAGATGGCACATTCGTAGCTGAGGAACAGCAAGCAATGCTGTGAGTCATGTTCCATGTCATAGTGGCCTATAATGAGCACAGACTTCGCTACATTATGGTTCTCTTTAAGGATTTCTTTAAATGAAAACCAAAGGCAAATATGATTCGAAGGGGTCATTAACCATCCCTCCAGCTCGGTGCAGAAACACATTTTGCTTATAGCAGACAGTGCTATCAATATTTCAGTGCTGTTGTATGCGGCAAAGAGGGTTTACAAACTGAGCGCAGAGTTACTACCATTTTTTCGGTTGCCCTTCTTTCATACTGGTGTCTGTGCTCACCCTCTTTGAAGCTACAAGCGCATGCTGTTTGGTGTTAAACAGCAGATAGCATAGTATTGGCGAATAGCCAACATAAATCGAGAGCAGTGTTTCAATCAGCAAGGGGAGCCACCACTCGCTGGCGCAGTGCTACATAGTCTGCTAACGTTGCTCAGAACCACAGTTGTGCACAAGAATAAAATAGTAGAGAGCGATCACGTTTCACTAGTGACGCACTCAAGGTCATGACTCCTTTTGCCTTGTGTCACCCCTCCCTTGGTAGCTTGCTGCACGCTCGTCGGAATGAGAAGAGAGTGCTCAAAGGGTGCGACAAATCGCCCTGACTCCACTCATTTTTCACGGATTCAAGAAATTTTCACAGCAGTAGATTGGTGAAGTAGTTACCTGGACATGGAGTTCATGATTCCTTTAAGGGGGCCTTTCTACATTTATTAAGTAGCCTTCATTGAAGGAGTTCATTGCCTAGCAAATTGACTGCCACAGGAATGTTTAGAATCTGCCAAGTACGGGTGGAGTCGCAGAGATTTGTCGCAATGCTGCAATCGCTTTTTTTGTGTTGTCTGTGCCAATAAGCGCACTGAAAGCCAATAAACTGAAAAGGGTAGCACAGAGGAAAGAAGGTTTCTTCAGGGTGTCTACCAACCTGGAAAAAGACAGGGAATTTCTGAAAAATCTGGCCTGGTTATGGGAATTGTCTGTAGCCTGTGTGACCATCACAAAAATAAGCATTACCATTAATCGAAGCTTAAAAAGCTTCTCCTTCGGCTGCAACTACATTGAACAGCTAGAAGTTGTGTGAAAAAAAAGCAGTGCGCAACTGTTGCTTCTTAGTAAAGACATGAAGGATGCACCTACCAAAAGAATACAAAGTTTACTGACATTATAGCACCCGCTACAGGAGCCTTGTTCACAAAAATAGCCATAAGAAAGGCACAGCGTCCCACTACAGTTTTTTTACTTTGGGACCCTTGCCTGTACATTTTTTGTTGATCTTGTAAGCTTCTTCAAACAATAAACTGAAAAGGAAAAAAAAATGACATGGAAGTACTGCCTAAGTATGTGATCGGAAGTACATTGTTGGAGGTGTCCCATCACTCCTGTTCAGCATATGAACAGTTGTCTGCATGTGCTGGTATTACAGGTGCAGGCATGATACAAGTTTTCCTTTGGCCAGAACACGCACACTTGACCAGTCAGTTTGATGGCCTGTAGAATCCACATGTTTAGCGAGGGCATATAAGGTCACATAGTTTCTCGACATCATATTCGTGTTTTGTTTAGCAGCGGGGAACATAAAATTTTTGTAGATGGTCGATTCTGGGGGATAACTGTAATCTGGGTTTTTTTAACTCTTTCCTTGGAATCAGTGGTCTCACCGATTGTATTAGTTCTCACAATTGTGACAGCCTAAAGTAAAAAGACAGTGGAAATTTTCGCCTGACAACTTGTCCTTCACTTTGTCTAAAGCGTTCCCTAGCTTCCATATTCGTACATACACTATGTTGATGTCTGTTGCTTCTACATATCACGCAACATATCTGACTTCCTTACTACAACATAATTTACGTCGTTAAATTTGTGCATGTTTGTATTGACCATGATTTGGCTCGGTTTGAAGGCATTCTGATTCAGCTAGGACTGCCATTAGCAGGGGCTTGCCGGGTTATGTCATGTCTTTCTGAAAAATCTGGCCTAGTAATATTATTACTAGGGGTGAGATAGATGCGCATATTGTGCATTTTTGATACATTTCCGTTTTCTTGCGCCAAGCTGCTCTGAAAGCATAAAAATCGCGAAATTTGTGCCGAGCTGCTCTGAAAAAGCCTCGAAAGCTAGAATTGTCATGCCAACCTCAGCTTTAGTGGGGAAAAAAGGCCGAGTTGAGTGATAAGACGCGCTCAATCGTGTTTTTTTTTCTGTGCCTTTCTGGTGACGAAGACTTTCATGCATGATGCCGCCATAATCTTCTCTAAACTGTTGTAAATATGCATGACCCCCAAAAATGAGCTGCCGTAGCATCGAGCATGCTGCTTCTACTAGCTAGGCTCTATGTTCTGGTGCCTCTGTTGCTTAGCGAAAACCACAAAGTCAAGTGGCGAGCATAACGCAGTTGACTCTCAGGTGGCTTATCAGATATCTATAGGTGAGCGCTTCGACCATTAGCCTGCGCTTCGACGACCTCCTCCTCCGACTCTCAGGTTCTTTGTTGTGCATAGCCCGTACCTCCTGTCGCAGCAGTTTTCATGCCGACGCTGCTGCGTGCGGTCACCTACGCGTGCGAGTTTGTCGCGAGCTAGTAACTGTAAACGTGGAATCATTTCCCTGCATGCGACGTGTCTTCTGCATACTCTGACGCGTGCTCACGTGTTCTCAAAATCTGTTCCGTGAGTGATAGAACGCGTGCAACCCATTCCCGGTTGACACACATTAGCTACAAATTTATTCAGACAAGCCAGTTTCATTGCATATTAAAAAAAAAAACAATCGCTGGCGAAATCCGCACATCGGTGTCCGCAGTTAAAAAGACTTATTATTTGCGAAGCCGTGGTGACAGAACGCGCGTCCAAAACATTTCAAACAATAATAACAACCACCTCGCCGCTTTATTCGCGACTCATGACGCGTCGGCGATCACGTGGCACAGTTTTTATGAATCGTGATTTGCCGCTGCTCCATTACGTAATCCAAACTCGCAAGGAGCGCTTTAAGAGGTGTTTCTGCGCGCCGGCTCTGGGCTACGCGAAATTTTAGGCTTAGTTTTATGTTCGATCGGTGTTTCGGTCGGCGACCATTCCTCTGTGCAACTTCGTTTTCTTTTATTCTTTTTGTCTCCGCAATAAAACCGGCCTCTGTGCAGTTCGGCGGTTCATTTGCATGGTCACGAACTGCTTACCTGCGAATTTCTTAAAATGCTGCGAGCATTTTGCGCGAGTTGCAGCATTGGCAGGCAATCGCAAGTTGATGTATTATCTGTCTACACTATGATGATGAGTTACGATATTGAAAAATAGAACTGGTTAAGGTGTGCCATATTAATAATGTGTGATTTCTCGCGTGGAGAGGCGTTATCAGTATCATTCACTTTATTTAGTGCCATACGCACGTGCTTTATGATATAGTCGGTGCGGTCAGGCTTCTTGGCTCCCGCGCTGCACTCTTGAAGGTGGTTCCACACGAGGTGGTCGCGAACGGTGGTGCAGCGCACTTTTGTTGTCTGTTAAAATCTCATGACACTATCATGTCAGGCTTTTCTTTAAGCGAAGGAACCAGTGTTACATTACTAAGATTCTTGTACAATCACAGTTTTTTAAATTTCTTTGTAGTGTGATGTGGTTTTCTTTTTAAACATCCCCAAGAACCTAGTTATCAGCAACACCTTTTTTTTTTTTTTTTTCAAATATTATTTCACATGTCTGTTATGAGACTTAGATAAGTCATGTATTTTTAGAAGGTAGTGCAGGTCATACCTAGTGATATCCTGTTTAAAAATTTCCTTTGAAATTTGTTTCAGTATTATGTGCGTTGTAAGCCAATGAAAATATGCACTGCCACCCCCACGTTGCTAAAAATTTGTATTTTCAAGCTCCTAGGACGACATATTAAATGCCGCCAACTGCTCAAAAGCAAGGTTCTCCTGCTCGAAAATTGAAATTTTGCTGCTCTGAAAACTGCTCCCAATCTAGTCTTAACCGTCTCACCCCTGTCATTATTATTGGCAATGCAACGACAAACGTCCTCAGCAACACACTTATTGTTGGTGGCTCGCATTTCAAAGGGATAGTTTCGGTAACTTCATCTAAATTTCACGTTTCAGTTTCTTAAGATGGTATTATTAAATCTGTGATTACTTTTTAGCCTTATATTGATAGAACAGTACACAATCGAAGGCAGCCCACCGGCATCTGTGATACATCTATGGAATCGAAAAAGCTGTTGCCCCCTGACAGATTCTTTCTTGCCAGCACATGTTCAAACGTCATCGCTTTAAGAGCTACCCCTAGCTTTCATTGCAGGCATCTGAGGAATTCGTCAAACTCTAAGCGTTAGAGCACAGAGAAATAAAACATCAGCATGCATGTGCTTGTCGTGTAAAAGAAAATATTGAAAGAACGAAAATTATGCTGGTAAGGCTCTGCTCTTGAGACGTTGTTAGTCATCGTTAAATGCAAAGTGCACAGAAAATGCGAGTGGTACTGTTCTTTTTTTCCTGAAAAGTATTTACTGGAGCTGTGCAATTTAGGTGGGGATGCAAATCAATAGTAAATACAGCAATCCATGCCGCATCAGGTCCAATTCAATCCACAGCCAGTAAGTAAATACAGGTCAGTAATACAGGTCAATCTAATCTAGTGCGCATCCTCAGCGACCTGGGCTGTAATTACGCTATTATAGTGAACTAGAATATATTCCAGTGGCGGAACCGACCAAGCTCCGGCGTCCTCCTTTTACGCAGATGCCATGAGATAGTGCCACTTCTACATTTTCTAGCAGCTTTGGCTGCATTGTAGGACTCTCGTGGGCTTCTTTAAGCTTTTAGCTGCAGTTAATTTTAACTCGTGTGTTTGCTTTCTGGTTCTTCCAAACATTAAACAGCCAACTTGCTTACTCTCTCACTCCGAGGTTTCATGGCTTCAAATCATCATGGAAAACCTGGAGAAGTCAGAGAATTTTGAAAAAGCAAATTGATAGACACCCTGACTTTGCACACGTTTCTTCTTT